ACAAGAATTTGTCGAAAGTACACGTATACTCGCCAAACTGGACTTCTGAATTACTTTTTGCGAAATTTATTGTCAGAATTTCAGACAAACTCGATTCCATATTCTAGTTAACTAGAGCTCATATTAAACAGTTTTTGCTGTATACAGTTTTCAAAAAATACAATGCTAGTGCAGCAGGAAACTCCCATTCGGCAGCTCTTTGAGCATGATTTTCTGTCGGAAAGAACGTGCAGGAAGTGGTTTTGTAGCCTCTAGCTGCATTCTTGTCATCAGTTTCCGTCATTTGTAACAGCTCAGTTTTTAAAGGGTATCATAATATTCATTTATTTCTTTCTTACGGCTAAATTTTCTATGATAAGCAGTGCATTTTATAAGCTAACATTACTTACTTCGTAAAAGGCACAATACTTTTTTCAGGTTCTTAAGCCAAATCCTTTGTTCTGCCTTTAATTGCAGAAGGTTGCCGTCAAAGAGGTCTCTCAGAAATCCAAATACTTCCTGACTGGGTTCATGGAGGTGGCTATAATGCTTGACCTAAATAACACACATATCGTCCGGCTGTGCGGCTGGGGTGTTGAAGACCAAATTCTCTATATCATTACTGAATTAGTACCCGGTCAAACCCTATCCTCCTTCGTTCAAATGGCAAAGTATATTGATTTAAGCACTATGGGCCTGGAGAAGATACTAATGGGCATTGCACAGGGTTTGCGATACCTGGAGGCCAGGAAGTTAGTTCATGGAAATCTGGCGGCGCAACATATCTTCCTGGACAAGGACAAGACTCCAAAGGTTAGTCTTGCAGTTCTCCTATATCACTATACTTCCACATATTTTAGTTCTCTGTTTGTCATCCTTGTATTCGTGAACGGGAATCATCGTGTGGTTGATATTTAGAAAAATGTTAATCTGATGAAAGACTTTAAAGTAGACTTTTAAGGGCAGACTGCTAAACCTTCACAGGATTCCCAAAGCGCCTTTGGTCGTAACAAGGGCCGCATCGAAAACCCCAAATTATTCATCTAAACATCTCTTCCATCCAACGCCAGAAATCGTGAATTGAATTAATCAAACTAGTTTATTCAAAGTATCCCACGTTTTTAGAAGAAGACGATGACTCGACCGCTGGAACAACACTTTTGTTCGCCTGACGTTTCGAGGTCCGTAGCGGATCCATCATCAGGTACGTAAGCAGAAAGCGGTACTACAATGGTTGGTGTCGCTGGTCTTTCAACATCACAGACGGAAATTCTGGGCGCGGTATGTCATCGAACGAGATCAGGTGCTTACTTTCAAGGAACGTTTCCACAGGGTCTTCCCGGACGAACAACCAGATGGCCTTGCTTGATGTTTTCGTCCATCGCAAAGATTGTGGTCATCTAAAGACTAAAGTATTCAGTAAAACGAAAAACACAATGCAAGTACTGAATTACAACGGCAATCACCCAATCAGCCACAAATGCAATTACGTAAGGACGCTCTATATGTTGTTGAGACTCACTGCAGCGAAGCAGAAGAAGAAGTTGCCGAAGTACAATATCTTCGACGGGTGTTGACAGAAAATGGCTTCACCCGCTACTTCGTCAACCGGTGCTTGCGCATAAGAGATAATTGACAAAACCGTACCAACCCTAAAATTTGGCGAGCAATCCCGTACGGCATAAATGTATTGGAGGCCGTCAGCCGCCTTCTCGCACCAATTGGAGTTAGAGTCGCACACAGGCCGGAGGCAACCACGGCAAGAAATATCTGGAGTCTACCGGAACTGGTGCAGTTGCGGGCAAAGTAACTATGTCGGAGAAATTGGCAGTCTCCTCAAGACGTGAATTGCCGAACACGCGGCAGTAGTGCGGCGAAACGATGCCAATTCTCAAGTTGCGGCTCATTCGACGAGACCCAGCCACACATTCA